GAGATGGTGTTGTCGATGCGGTTGGCGGTGGCGAGGCGGTAGCGATGGCGCTGGCGGTGACGGTATCGGTAATCTATCTATCTATCTTTATTCTATCTATCTATCTATTAGCTATCTATCTATCTATCTATCTATCTATCTGATCTATCTATCTATCTATTCTATCTATCTATCTATCTTATCTATCTTATCTAATCTATCCTATCTATCTATCTATCTATCTATCTATCATTCTATTATCTATCTATCTCATCTATCTATCTATCTATCTATTTTATCGATCTATTCTATGCCATTCCATTTAATCGTTTGATTTCGCCGTCCATCCGTCAGACTGTCTGTCTGTCTGCCTTGCCTGCCAGACTGCTCCTTCCTCTCTCTCTCTCTCCTCTCTCTCTCTCTCTCTACTCTCTCTCTCTCTCTCTCTCTCTCTCCTCTCTCTCTCTCCAACACCACACTCTCCTCTCTCTTCTTCTCTTCTCTCTCTCTCTCTCTCTCTCTCTCTCTCTCTCTCTATCTATCCTATATAAATATAGTATCTATATACGCTTTATGTAAACATACTTCATCCTGACGTGTTCTACGGGCGAATAATTGTTTTTCTTGTTTTATTTCATTCATCGTGCCAGCACGCGTGAGAGTTGTTAATTACATGGCAGGCCAGCTACTGCGAGTCGGTTATTGATACAGGCAACACATACTTTTCTGATATAACGAGTTACGTTTAGGTCATCGGTCTCAGCTCGCTCGCGCGCGCTGCGCGATCGAGAGAGAGAGAGAGAGAAGAGAGATGAGAGAGAGAGTGAGAGATGAGAGAGCATCTGCACGAGCGAGATAATAGGGAGAGAAGGAGAGAGAGAGCAGAGAAAGACAGAGGCAGCGCGATGACGTATAGGGAGAGAAGGAGAGAGCGAGTGAGAGAGAGATAGAGAGCGATAGAGAAAGAGAGAGGGAGAGATAGAGAAAGAGAGAAGGGGAGAGAGAGCGAGAGAGAGAGGCCGAGAGAGAGAGAGCGACCGAGAGAGAATGAGAGCGAGCGCTCAGCGAGAGATAGGGGGAGAAGGAGTAGGAGAGAGAGAGAGAGAGGCGAGAGAGCGAGAGATGAGCAAGAACGATGAAAAGGAGAGAGAGAAGAAGAGAGAGAGAGATAGGATATACTATATATACGAGAGAGAGAGGAGATGAGGTAGAGAGAGAGACGTCGAGCAGAGGAGGAGAGCAACGAAGATTTGGAGAGAGAGACTGGACGAGAGAGAGACGGAGACGAGAGAGAAAGAGAGAGAGAGAGAGAGAGCAGAAGAGACGAAGAGAGCAGAGAGAAAGGAAGCGAGCGAGCGCGAGCGAGAGTAGAGAGAGAGAGAGAGAGTGGAAGACGAGATGAGGAGATGGAGAGACGAGAGAGCGACAAGAGAGAGAGAGGACTGCGAGCTGAGCGGAGAGATGGAGAGAGAGACGACAGACGAGAGAGAGAGACGAGAGTAGAGAGAAGAGAGAAAGACAGAGACAAAGAGAGACAGAGAGAGAAGAGAGGAGAGAGGAGGGAGACGAGAGATGAGAAAGAGAGAGAGAGAGAGAAGAGAGAGCAGAGACAGATGAGAGACGTAGAGAGGAGAGAGAGATAGAAGAGAGATAGAGAGAGGAATTAGAGATAGAGAGAGGGATAGGAGATATAAGATAGAGAGACTACAGCGAGAGATAGAGCAGGACAGAGAGGACGAAAGAGAGAGCCATAATAGAAGTAGAGAGGAGAGAGAGAAGAGATCAGAGAGAGTGAAGAGAGAGAGAGAGAGTAGACGATAGAGAGAGATAGAGATAGAGAGATAGAGAGAGACAGATATATATATATATATATACTAATATATATATAGAGAGAGAGAGACGAGAGAGAGAGAGAGAGAAGTAGAAAGAGAAAGAGAGAGAGAGAGAGAGCGAGAGAGAAAGAGAGCGCGCATCGGCAGTCATCGTGCATCACCGCGCAATAAAACATTAACGTCGGTCGGCTAATCAAGGCATCACAGCGCCTTCACACGACGTCTTCATTATCAGCCGAAGCTCGCAGAACGCTGTCATGCAGTAATAGTAGTAGTACATCCACAATCAAGATGTACCGTTCCCTCGATATAACTAGGGAGCAGGGCCCGAGGCAGTTTATCACTACATTTTCTTAACAACACCAGTCAACTCAAAGGAAATTCACGTATGTTAAGGATACTGTAAGGGTTGGGAGGTAAATTTCTTTCGAAATTTTAATACCCACTTTATTTGATAGATCGCAGCCATGGGCCTATACATAGTCTCCCAAACAGTTCCAAATCCCCGCATTAGTCAAGTCTTAACACAGGCGTTCAATGATGGGAAATTTAGAAAAGTGCTGATATCTCGGTTGTTAAAAATGCTAAAGTAGGTGATTTTTCAAGCGCTATTTCTCGAAACTCGCAACTCCGATTCCAAAATTTTGTTACAATTTTGTTACGTTTCAATTCTAACATATCAAAGAGAAAAAGGGTCCCTGGAATTTTTTTTAAATATTATATTTTATGAGTTATGGCTCTTTGTTTACGAAATTGTTGCGTTTAGAAATTCACTACAAATTGTTGTACGTCTTTTCAACTTATTTCCTAAATTAAAGCATTTAAAAAAAATTCCAGGGAACCTTTTTTATTTTATATTATGAACAACTTATGGTTAAAAGGTTAGGTCCCAACTCTTTGCTGTTTCTGAAAAATAGGAAAAAGCATGTTTTTGTATGAATTCACAATTTTTGCCATCAATTAATTAGCGATAAATTTGTAAAAAAAAATTTCGTTGAGAGCGTAGAGAGACATCTCTCGTATGTAATGGATATGAGTTTGATTGAACTTAATGAGTAGTTAGGTTGTCCGTAACCCTAACAGTATCCTTAAGCGCGTTCCCAACTAATTCTGCCGGGTGATGTGAGCTTTTCGGAACAATTTGGTCGGTTTAACCACTTTTAGCGTTTCAATAATGAACCAGAAGACAGCTCATTCCCCAGCCATCTACTAGGCACGTAAATACCGAGTTCACGCATGCGCTGTGTCTCTCAAATTAAAAATATTTACAGAGTAGTAATTTTGCACGCTAACCATAGAGCACGTTTATATGAGCAACTTTCCCTGTAGAGTTCTAGCTACAGTACAAAATTAATTAGAAGCTAATTCATAGGAAATGTTTTAACTGCTGTATCCAATCACTTAATTAGAATTGGTCCCTATAGCGAATATTTCATTAAAATAAAGATGTCGCTATAAAAATGCAAATAACGGACACAGTACAATAAAACTACCCCAACAAATGATGTCACAATAATTAATTACAATAACAAAAAATTATCATATCGTTTGCTAATTAATCAGTTCTAGCACCTTAATTTACATAGATTAATACAATATTATTTGCAAAACCGCCAATTCACGCCATTGCGCCATTGTGCCAAAAAACGCCATTGCAAAACCATGACGTCACTTTAGGATCAACCACTTTTTACCAATACTACAGTTACAATGTCAACGAAAATATAAGCATTTTTGGAAAATATGGAGTATTATAATACTGTTATAGGTTGGTCGCTGTTTAATTTAATATTGCTGCATTATATTTCACCTTTAACAGTTCTGCCTAGAGGCCTATACCTGACGTCCCAAATAATTTATAATAATTATAACGCACAATTACATACATAATTCACTTACGCGCCAACTACTATAATGCCCCTCCCTGTTCCCCCCCAATATCCATCAGCGCCCTAATTCGCATACAAATTCTTTAATTACAAATTATGACGCTACTTTCCTATCGCAGTGTACAGCATGCATACGGTACAAACACCTAAACTGAGAGAGAGAGAGAGAGAGAGAGAGAGAGAGAGCCGATCCTGCTCGCCGTGCTGCGCGCCGTGATGTGCTGTGCCGATCTTACATGCTACTGGTGGCAACAGTAACATCGCTGCTACTGCATGCTGCTGATTGTTACGGCTCTGTTTCTGTCTTCGGCAGGTACCTTACCCGAACCGCAGCCACAGAATGGATGTGGTGGTATGTTGACGGGCGTGGGCGGTGTCATCGAATCGCCCGGTTTTCCAAACAAGTACGAGAACGACACAAATTGCGAGTGGCTGATCAGAGTGCATTACACCAAGCATATATTCATCAAGATTCTAGAGCTGCAATTAGAAGGAGGTCTAGGTGAGCGCCATGTATAATAGCTAGAACATTGCTATTCGCGTTGGTATTTTTATCAGTTACTAAGGAGAGGTAAAGAGAGGTAGAGTAAAAGAGAGGTAGAGTAAAAGGTATAGGGGACCGTCGTCATAAATGTTTTAGTCTTAACATTAGTCATTAGTCATTTAGCATTATGTCCGGAGATAGCTTTACGATGTTTCCAACAACGGTCCTTACTGCTCCAAGTTTTACTACGTTTACATAATACCAGAACATACACGCTTTTCATGCGCCCTGTTGATATGAGACCTAGAGTTTTTGTTAGTGGTTATAATGTCAGTGATATGTCAGTGATATGTAAACACATTGCTGGTTCCATTCGTTTCGAAAAATTTATGGGATTTGAAGAAACATACTTTCAGAATTCACGGAATCATCAATATATTCTTGTGAGGACTTGAATACAGTAGACGCTATACTCACTCCTCCACCCGAGAGCTTTACTGTTAATATGAGAATCGTTCCCGAGGGTGAAGCTATATAATGTAACATAAATTATTTCCTAGCGTGGTGGTTCCAGTAAGTTCATTCCTTCGTAGAGTAATAGAAAAACGGCAATTCTTTTCTATCGTAGTTTTCACTCTGAAAATAAATGGCTACTGCCACTGCTGCTGGTGGTGGTGGTGTTCCCGGTTGTGGCTGTGGTGGCGGTGGCGGGGGTGGTGGCGATGGTGGTGGTGGTGGTGGTGGCGGTGGCGGTGGCGGTGGCGGCGGCGGTGGTGGTGGCGGTGGTGATGGTGTTGTCGATGGCGGTGGCGGTGGCGATGGCGGTGGCGGTGACGGTAGCGGTATCTATATATCTATCTATCGATCTATCTATCTATTTATCTATCTATCTATCTATCTATCTATCTATCTATCTATCGATCGATCT